TGCGTGTGTTTGTGTGCGGTTGCGTTTCTGTTTGTGTTCGTATGAGTGTGTTTGTGGGTTTGTGTGTTTCTGCGCTTCTGTGTGCGGTGTGTTGTGGCGCGGTGCGTGGTGTGTGTGTGTGTGTCTGTGTGTGCGTGGGTGCGTGGGTGCGTGGGTGAGTGCGTGCGTGCGTGCGTGCGTGTGTGGGCGCGCGCGCGCGTGCGTGTGCGTGCGTGCGTGCGTGAGTGTGTCTGTGTGTGTGGGTGCCTGCGTGCGTGTGTGCGTGGTCCGTGTGTGCGGGTGTGCGGGTGCGGGGTGCGCGTGTGTGCGTGTGCGCGCGCGCGCTCGTGCGTCTGCGTGTGGGTGTGTGTATGTGTGTCTTTGTGTCCGTCTTTGTGTCCGTCTTTGTGTCTTTGCGTGTCTTTGTGTCTGTGTGTGTGTCTTGTGTGTCTTTGTGTGTGGCTGTGTGTGTATCTTTGTGTGTCTTTGCGGTTGTTTGTGTGTGTGTGTCTGTGTGTGAGACTCTGCTTTTCTGCCGCTCATCTTGGAAGCTGAATCGGAAGGTCCTTCTTTGGATCATGTTCAAGTAATGCTCAGGGACGAGAATCTCTCAGGCAGTCATAGCCGAATCTTTGAGCAAGCGCTCATGGGTTAGTCCTGATCGGAGCCTCAAGGAGCACGCCGGGCGAATGGTGGTGAGCATGGAAAACTGGGTCCTTAAACGGGGCCTGGGTCTTTGGACACATTGCTTGTTGAACTGGGCATCCACGCATAGTCAACTAGAAGACGGCCCGAAAGCATTTTCCATGACACGGAGCCTGCATCGATCCATTTTCCAACTATGCATTTGACTGTCTACTCTGCGCATGCCTCTATGCACTTCACTCTGCGCCTGACCTGCGCATGCCTCTATGGATTTCACTGTTTACTCCGCGCATGCCTCTACGCAGCTACTTTCCCTAACATGCATCTATGCACTTCACTCTGTACTTGCCCTATGCATGCCTCTATGCAATTCACTGTCTACTTTCCCAGCGCGTGCCACTACGCATTTCACTGTCTACTTTCCCTGCGCGTGCCTCTATGCATTTCACTGTCTATTTTCCCTGCGCATGCCTCTGTGCATTTCACTGTGCACTGTCACTATGCATGCCTCTATACATTTCACTGTCTACTTTCCCTGCGCATGCCTCTATGCATTACACTGTCTACTCTGCGCACGCGTCTACGCATTTCACTGTCTGCTTTCCCTCCGCATGCATCTATGCACTTCACTCTGTAGTTGAGCTGTGCAGAACATTTCACTGTGCACTTTCCCTATGCATTTTTCACTCTCTACTTTCCCTATGCAGTTGAGCTGCGCAAAACACAACTGAGCTGTGTAGAACATTTCACTATGCACTTTCCCTATGCATTTTCACTGTCTACTTTCCTTATGCAGTTGAGCTGTGCAGAACGCAACAACTCTACCGGAAGAACCCTTCGCAATGCTTTCGGGAAAAACCACATAGCAATAGCCGAGGCTGAGTCCAGGCATTTCGGCTGAACATGGCAGCAGGAGTCAAGGCATCAATCCTAATTCGCGGGGCCTGAAACACGTTTCTGAGTCCCAGGATTTGAGCAACAACTTTTCGTAAATCGGAAGTGAGTCGTGAATATAGATGTCTACAGCTGGGCCCAGCATTTGCTGAGCAAGTGTTGGCTCTAGCATTTCCAAGCTTCTGGCTCAATCTTTGATTCAACCTCAAGCTGCGGCTCTGCCAAACTTAGCAAGCTATTTTTGCTCTCGAAGTTCTTGCGGGCCTTTAAACTATAGCCTTGACTAAGGTTTCCCAGCTTTCAGAGACTGACACGCACAAAGCGCAACTTGGGTGCAAGCAATGTTGGTCGAGCGGAGCCTGTTGTCTCCAGCTAGTTTCCAATGGAAAAACTTCCACAGTCGGCGGGCAACCTGTTGTTTCCCGATAAAACATGCCTTCGGCCGCCTAAATTTGAGGCTGCTTCGGACGCATGCGGAGCCGAAGCTCAGCTGAAGGTGCAGCAAGAGCACAAGGGTCGGCGACTGCTCTGAAGCAAATGGCACAATGGACGCCATCTCACACTCCTTCGAACTCATAGCCTGCGTCCAATAATAAGCACGTCTAACCAACTGCACATCTAGTCAACTGAGGGCAAAGCGCATGCCAGAGGATGCACTGGGTGAGAGGTGTTCAAGGGCTGAGAATCGGGAAGCACATGTTTCACCCCAATGCTTCGCAGCCTGTTGGACATTTTGGGGATGCTGACACAGGAGTTGAGACCTGCAAAGAGCCACAGAATCAACTGGAGCTCGCTGAGCTTGAGTTGAGACACGTGCCCTTCAAAGGCTGCAAAGTGCCTCGCAAGGGAGGTCAGAAGCTATCAAACCGTAATCCAGGTCCGATGTCTGAACACAAACTAAGGCCTCAGGGCGATGCTGAGAATAGCACAGCCGAAGCTGGCTGGAGGCAGTCAAGGTTGGACCAAAGCTGGGGCCAAAAACTTGATGCAAGATCCGACGCTCGCTATGCCAGATGGCGCCTGGGCGCGGGGTTCTTTGGTCAGACGTGCTTGGCATCGTTGGATTCAGCCCCTAGCCTGCATTTGGACGCAGAAGTTCACTTACTCTCTAAAGCAGTCGCTCATCTTCCACGATGCGAGTGTCAGAGTGCGTGGGTGGTTAAGGGCTACTAGATGGATTTTAAGCTCTGCAAGCACTCCACACCCACACAAGCGCTCAGCCGGGCCTTGTCGGTTCAGATCATTTAGGTGGGAGCGGCCCGGGCTCGGTTGCGCAAGCACGGCGCCAGATCATAAATACCCGCCAATAACGAACAACAAATCTGATGGCAAGCTGCCAAATGCAGCTGGCGAGCCACACCGAGCAAGCCAAAGCAGTCCAGTTCAACACCCTGTGATACCAATGACAATCACGGAAATCTTTCGCAGCAAACGTCAAGCAAAGGATGAGTGGAGGCAGCGACCATGCAGACGCGCCCAGAAAGTCGCCAGCGCAGCCCGCGGTTCAACAAAGTCAAAAGGGTTAAAAGGCTGATTTCAGGAAAAACAGTCGGACTCCGGTTGACAACATGACTTTTTGACACATAACATCTCAGAGTGATCAAGCCGCCTGTCACGGGCGCCAGTCCACATCTACTTTCTAAAGCGATCGCCCATCTTCTGCAACGCAACTTCCTGAGCCCCGGGCCGTGACATATATGTGCAGACGCAGCGACAAACGTGCAAATGCGTGCCTTGAAGCAACGGCCTTGGCGCCTTGCGTTACACGGGCTGCCCACCGTTCAAAAAGTTTAAGGCGCAAAAGCTATCGCCCATCTACGCAAGTTGCCCTGAGCGCCAAGGCTCTCGGTAGTTGAGTTTGCCCAACAGGCGGCAGATTTATCAAGCTTCAGGCCAACACATCTCCACGTGTTGGCACTACAGAATGGCGATCCCGCAAGAAGCCGCCCTGCCCGCACACGCATTTCTCGAACAGCTGCGCCTTTCTTGAGCCAGTGCTGCTAAATGTTACTTCAACACGCTTCGTCCTTATATAGTGCCACCGTTCGCTTGTCTCAGGGTGGGTTCGTCCCCTGTTTTCCGTGGCTGATATTTACAGCTCGTCTCACGTCCATTTCTCCCCGTAAATGCACTACCGTAAGGGTCATAACCTCTCCAATGCAGACCCTTGGACCCTCCAATGGAGAACGCCATTTGAGCGCCCGCCCAACAATCGAATCGGACCCACTCGGGGCAACAAATCAATCCATGTTCATGAGCCTTGAGCTCACGATTCGCGCAACAGGGGTCTATTTTTGCTCAACCAGCTAGGCTAGTCCCCTTATAAGCATCAACAACCAACGAAAGGTGGGTGGAACATCCATGTAAGACATCCTCCAATGGTGACTCAAAGGGGAACCGCTCCGCAAAAATGATGTGGATAGCCTCAGTAAGGCTCCAAGACCCATTCCGACACAGTGACGTTGAGAACCCTCAGAATGCTTGCTCACTCGAAGGGACCTACAGATCTATGGAATGCGCTCCAGGATGCCTTTGGCAGCCTGGGTTGCCGGAAAATGATAAAAGTCCTGACATTGACGGGACCTGGTCGCTGGCTTATGGACCATGCGACAGGCCGTGTCACCAGCTAGCCTGGGTTGGGCGATTCAACCTGCAACATCTTTGAACCTTTGTTTCAACAAGCTCCTTTCGCTCCTTTAGGTGTCCCTTAGGCAAGGGCCTGGTTTTATCAAGTTCTGCCCAACCCTTAGCACAACAAAATTCGTATGTCAAGAGGTGCAGGCCGCTCTCGGCCGCACGAGTGTCTCGCCGTTCTTGGCTCAAATTGACAAGTGGCTTTCAGTCATGGCTTGGGGGGGGGGTGTCAAAACTAGGTGCCCTTCTTTTGGGGGCGGAACGTCTTTGGTTGAGGTGGTTCAGGGAGACGTCCAAGAAGGGGCTTTCGACAACCCCCTTCGCTGTGATTCCCTCAGAAACCCCGAGCACAAGCGCAAAAGTTGGCCCCCAATGAGACTAATCTTCGACCAAACTTTGAATCCTTCTCACTTGAGCGGTTTTGGCATTTGTGGCTAAGACGCATCAGGGACCACACTTTCTGAGTGGATTGGCCAAACAGCAACCACGCTTTTCGTTCACTAGGATCCAGGCCCAAAACGTCGGACTAGAGTCCACGGGGACTGAGCCTTTCTGCCACAGATGGAGTCATATGTTTTACTGCATGGCAAAGGTCCATCACTTTTTTCGCCGGGGTACCTCACAAATCCTCTCTTTGAAGTCTCCAGGCCCTTCGATTTCCCCGCGCTTCACAGAATCAGCGCCAACCCATTGACTTTGGGTTCTGCTAACATAGATATAACGGATTGTGCAGGGCCTCACCATGGAGGTTTCGTTTGAGTCTCCTTCTGATCCGAATCAATCATGGGCACGTCCATGACCCCTTTCTTTCGTTTTTTGCTCCTTTTTCTTGAGAGTAGATTGTTTTTGCCATGCTAGGGTCAGAAAGAGACTCAAAAGGGTTGGATCGACTCGCGTGGCGTCTCAGATGGCGTTGAAGATCCTCATGGCATCCGCCACGAAGCCCGCGGTGTTGATCACCAGCACGGGCACAAAGATCAGAAGGGTCCAGGGCCGCGCGCGGAGCAGACCCACCCGGAAGTCCAAGGGGAACCTATCGATGAAAATCAGCTTCCCCCTTTTGGTAGTAAGGTGGGGCAACCCATTCAAGAACCAGGGGTTCAATTTTCTGACTTCAAAATCTGGTAGACCCTATTTGGTTCCCCCCCCGTTCAGGTTCTTGAGGGTAAATTCCAAACCACCAATTAGTGGGAAGATGACGCGGGAGAGGTCGGCAAATTCACACAAGTTTGCTGGTGAAATGGGGGCAGCGCCTCAGGTTTTCCGGGACATTTGCTGGACTGAAGCCATGGCTGAAAATGGAGGGTCGACTGAAGCCATGGAAAGCCCCCAAGTGAAGAAAGACGCAGTTTGGTAAGGGAAGCACGGTAAAAATAGGAAGTGAAGCGGCCGGAAACGGACCTCCCTGTATTTCCTGGACACATGGGACCCTGGAGGGAAAATGAAGGGAACCTCAGTCAGGATTGCTCCCATGTAAAACCCTGACGGAACGCAAACGGACACACATAATTTGCCATGGAAGAACATTGTTCGCACGTGGAGATCGGCAAACAGTGATAAGAGAAGCTCCTCCAGACCCGATCGGCACCCATCAGCATTTACCCCTCCCCTACATAGAGTCTCCTTTGCGACCCGAAACAAAAATAAGGTCATGACCCGGGTAATTACCCCTTGCTTTTGGGCAATGACAGTGCCAGGCCCAAAAACCGGAAGGGTTGCCAATGCCTACTTGAACCGTCCCACGAAGTTGGCACCCGTTTTGGTAGAATTGTCGCTGATTTTGAACATCCTCACGTGATTCACAGTTTTCGAAGGCATAGAGTCGTTCCGCTGGAAGCGCACCCCTTGCCAATCAATCCCACTTCGGTCTTTGAAAGGCGAGCACTCCAAGAGAAGTTTCTTGCGGGCTCTGATGGAATTTCCGGGAATTCAAAACAACTCCGGGTGTGGTACGGGGAACTGCGAGGTCTGCATACCGGATTCTTAGGGTGGGCGACTCTGTTCAAGCTCCTCTATTAGGAAAATGCCCGAAACCTGGACACCTCGGAAAATCGAGGTTTCATGTCGGATCTCTTCTAAAAGCTTTGACACACAGGAGGTCCAAGCTTTGCTAGCCCCGACGATAAGGGGTAAATACACCAAACAATACATGTTGAGATTCTGGTTCATACTTGTTCGATCCTTAAAGTATCAAATAACTTTGGAGGAGACCCCGGAAGCATAGCGACCACAATTGGCAAAGAAAAAACATATTGCTTTTCCGTGGAGGAACTCCGATAGGAACTCCCGGAAGGCATTCCTGCAAATCGCGAAAATCAGAGCGAATAGGCTGCCGAGACGAGTTGGGCGTTGGCCATGCATTTCTTGGACTTTCAACCAACATCAGGCAAGTGTGTTGTACCGATGGTTCTAGATTGGCTCCAGAGTGGTTTGGAGGGTCTCTGGGCTAGGATTCCAGAAGAGTTATTGTTGGGGATGTCACACGGGCTTGAACATTTGGGACATGGCTATTGGATCTGCTTTCAGGCAGTATTGTGCAAAGGGGCCCATGTTCAGCAACACCACTTCATGGACTGCGGAAGGGATTGAAACTTGAACAGTTGCTTGGACAACAAGGCCTCCCAAACGGTGGAGGGGGGGGGAGTTCATTGCATCTGTTTGGCTGTAAATTGTGAGTTTCCTTTCGACACCGTGGTTTCCTTGAAAACCTGTATGACCTCTGCAAGAGTTTCAGTGCTAAGCATCTTATGCGCTCAAAACTGCTCGGTTCAACACCTTCCAATGTCCCGTTTATTGCATAGCCCTCCCCATGATGATTCTGTGACCACAGTAGAGGGGTTCCTCTGGTTGCCAAACCTCGATTCTCACATGAATCATGACGATGAGTCGTTGACCGAAAAATGCGTGTGTGTGTGTGTGTGTGTGTGTGTGTGTGTGTGTGTGTGTGTGTGTGTGTGTGTGTGTGTGTGTGTGTGTGTGTGTGTGTGTGTGTGTGTGTGTGTGTGTGTGTGTGTGTGT